TGGCAGAGGACAGCGCAGGTCCCAGCTATGGCCTGCACTCCGAAGGTCTGGCTATGCCTGTCTCCTTCCACGCTGAGCCGTCACCACTTCCGGTTCACGCATAGTGCAGCAGCGATGTACTCAGTACCAACTGCCAAAAGCCCTGAACCGATGTGCCCCTTCTATCTTTAGACTACAGCTATCCTAGACTCGACTTAGACCGGACTGACTGACTGACCGGTACCGTATCAGTTTCGGCTTCTCGGTCTCTACCGTACCCGGCTGTAGGCTATAGGACCGTCTATCAGCATAGGCCCTTAGGGCCTGTCTATCCCAGGGGTAGCCCGGGCCTGCTATTCGCAGTTATGGTAATAGTAGGAAATTCAGTTAGTGTTAGGCCTGTATTTTTCCCAAATTTACAGGTATGTCCCTCACGAATTTCCACTACAGGTAGGTCTCTCAGTTAGCCCTCAGCCAAACAAAATTACGAATCTACCGTACCTATGGTACAGCGTCGACAGAGAGAGACTACAGGCGACCAGAAAACAGCAAGTCATTGCATAGCAGCCTGCTTGGCTCTTCGGGCACTGACTTCCAGGCCGCTCGGCCTTCCAAGCAACGGGTACCCCCTCCCTTTCGGAGGGAAACATCATTGCAGACTCTGATATTGCCCGTACAGGCCCTAGACCCAGACTGGTTGGACTGGGATCCGCCTAGACCTAACCTACAACTACTGGGCCTCTAAAAATGCCACTTTTGTCTTCTTCTGTTTGGCCTCCATCACCCGCACATCTACCCCTTCAGGGTGCGGTACCGGCCTACCCGCTACTTGAGTGTTTTTCCTGGTGCAATCCCTCAATGTCACGGCCACAGGTAAGTACCGGCCCTGAGGGCCCAATGAACGAGCAAGTGCCCTTGCGGGCCACACACACACTCAAGCCAACCAGCACTYAGACAGGCACGGCCACACACACACTCAAGCCAACCAGCACTCAGACAGGCACGACCACACACACACTCAAGCCAACCAGCACTCAGACAGGCAAGGCCACACACACACTCAAGCCAACCATAACTCAGACAGACATGCAGTCCAGCAAGCGTGCACACACAGACTAGTAGCAGGCGGTAAACTCAGCAAGGCATCCAGTCTATGGGCAAAACTCAGAAATCAGTCGTGTGTTTCAGTCCATGTTAGGATGGGTCATCACATTTGTATGATAATGATAACTTTTGGAGACGACTTCCTCGTGTGTGATTGTATCTCAGCTTTGGCTACTCACGTGTGAACTCTCGTGTGAACTCTCGTGTGAATGCTCATTGATGTATGTGATGTAGGACCTGATGAGAACTTGGTTCATTTCACTGTGGGTGGCCACAAGTTTTTTATAGGCTGGGAATGTATGTTTGGATTTTTTGCCACAGTATCTTCAGGAGGAGGCTCAGAGAGTGTTTCTGTGGGTGTCATTCCCGTGGGCTGCTTTTTCGGAGCACATGGAAGAAATGGGGTGCGAGGCACAAGGCCTCAATACGCCCTACTGGGCCCTATTTTCAGCACAGTCGGCCGCCCTAAGTGCAGGCAGGCTCGACCGAGGCCTACAGGCCATTTTTGGGGTCACCACACAACTGGAGAAATTCAGGCAGTTGCACAGCGCCAGTTGGTTGAGAGCGCCCAGGCCCAGGCCGCCTCTTTCCAATGTAACTGAGGCAGGCCGCGGGCCAGATTCGCAACATGAACCGAACGCAGGCCGCGGGCAGTTGGATACGAACAACCACCACAGGCTCAGGGCCTGATTTGTTTGGACTGGGGCTCAGCCTCTCTGGGCCTACCGGAAGCTTCTGGGCAGGGCCCCAGCACAGCCAAGCTGCACGCAAACAGGCAGGCCACTTCCATTTAGGAAAGTGCCTGCCCACGCATTGGGCGTTCGGGCACTGGCTGCATGCTGCACAAGCGCTGCTGCGCTAACGCTGGCCAGCGCTCACGCGCTCACGGGTGAGCTGGAAGGAGCAGGCAGCCATAGTCGAGCTGCGCTGCTGTATGCTGGATGGGGCGCATGGTGGTCCTTGGGTGCATGTGGCATCTGTGAGTTGGGGAACGAGGTTGTGAGTGATACGAGAGACATACCTGATGCTTGAGGCGAACGGCATTGGCCGAGATCTGCTCGTACTTCGAGGAGCTGTTGACGTCACCAGCAGCATTGTAGATAGGCCAGATAGGATCTGCCATTTGTAGTCTGGGCGCCGAGCGCCAGATAGGATGTCGACATTGGTTCTTTGTTGACGATGATGAGACTACTCGAACATTGTCACTCATGAGCTTTTGCTGTATTATTTGGTGGGACTCATGATGCAATTCTGCTTTTGGATTGAGGTCACGACTATCTGGTCTCATGTGTATGATGCTGCTTGGTTTCTGAAGTTCGCTATCACTCATTTTCCTTGCAATTTGGTATTGGAGCTGTGGTACCGTGCGCTCATCTGGCGCTTGTCTTCTGCCTATGCGGTATATGCATGCGGCCTGCTAAGTGAGCGGCCGTAGGGAGTGTGTAGTGAGGAGGGCGAAGGCAAGTTCGGCGACCCAGGTGGAGAGAGGATCGCCAGGAAGGCTACTATGTGGTGATTATTGGGTGTTCGCAGTGTGTGACGAGAACTATCCGATGGGTGATTGATGCTGAGGTGGAACGGTGGTGCAATGGTGGTTTTGCCGAAGCAGCGATTGGTCATCACAATCAACATCGGGTCATCTGGTGAGAATATATGTGGTTGGGGGCAGCTATTTTGAGGTACGTTGCACCTAACCTTATCTACCCTCTTCGACACTTCTTACCGTGAGGATGTGTGTTCTGTCTTGAGAGTCCTCTCATGTGAGGAGTCGTGTGCGCTCAACCTTGAGGGTCGTCAGTGTTCACGTGGAGCATCTGGAAGGAGAGGGCGGTGCTATCTGAAGGGCCTTGGACGAAGCACTGGGTTACGGTCACCGTGCCAACCCACCGGGAGTAGAGCACGCATGCTTTGCTGCTTTGTCCTTTGTCTGCTTGCTGCGCTATAGAGGGGTTCTGAGGGGCAGGCCAACCCTATGGGAAAGACGAGACCGGACGTCTATAAATAAGTACCGGCGGGGACCTTCCATTGGTTGTGATCGTCGTCCTATTTGCGACGTTAAAGAACTCCTAAGGACTTCGGGGGCCGTCCATAAAAACGCCTCCTAATCAGCCAATCGGTCGGTGTAAGGCTCGCTGCATGCGAGGATAAATACGGTGCAGGGCTGGCCGGCTCAGCAGGACTCGGGGCACAGGGGTGGGCCGTGTGCACACCTTTAGACACGTACGCTTTTTCGGATTGCTCAGGACGTTGACGACAAGAGACATTCAGGAAGAATTGAGGGAGGGGTAGATTCCAGGTGATAAGTTTGGGCAAGGTTCCATTCTGCAAACAAACCCAACAAATGATTCTATTTTTATTTTGATTAGTTAGATGTACAATCATTAACATCTGATAGACATCATAGTTAGAACTGTTTCCTGTTCATTGTGCTTTCTGTTTGCGAACTAGTCAAAGTCAAAGTAGTCTCGTTTGTAGGAGTCTGAACTTACCTGTTGGACCCAAATGTATAGTCTCTGACAAAGCCACCGATTATTTATTTTTTATTTATTTAAAATCGGTCTGTACATCATGCTGCGGTAGGCATCGAGAGTGTCCTAGTGCAGGAAGAGTACAGTGTTGTAGCCTATGAGTGATAGGGAGGTCCCACAACCGGACGATAGGCTCTTGCGATCGACAAGACGTCCGATAGCCCACTTGACGTTAGGACCAGAGGGCGACAAATACATGTTCCGCCAGCAGAGAGAGAGACAGCAGCAACAGCGGAGGGCTAGGGCCGCAGAAGCAAGCAGGGCATTCGTAAGTGAGGCCTCTACTTCAGCAGCCATGGCATCTGCTGTGCAGCAGAGCTCTTTGGTTAGTGGGTCAAGTTTTGTAGGGTCAACGGTCGCACAGACCCTGAGTCAGTCCATTGGCGTCATTGTAAGCCAGCCAATAGTGTTGACTCCCGAGGAGGTCACCATACAACGAGCAGCTATTCGTGAGGCATAGCTACAGCAGGCGTTAGGAGAGATTAAGGCAGAGAAAGAGAAAATGATTAGAAGAAGAGCCAGGATGCAGCGGAGACAAGCGGAAGTTGGCGAGTTAGAGGAGATGGACCTGACGAACATGGATGATGATGTGAGGACCCTACGGACCATCCTGCTAGATGTAGTAGAAATGCAGGACCACTATACGACTCTCTTACAGGACATCCAGCAGAGTCTGGCCGTTTTGGTCGGGCGTGCGCAGGCAGCTCCATCACCGTCCGGGCCTGGTGCCTGATCCGTTGTACAGGCTCCTCCTTTTGTCCCACCGGTGACTGAGGTATCCCCATATGTTGCTCCAGCATCGGTATAGGCCGCTTCCCTAGGTATGCCGTTAACAGGAGGGTTCTCAGCAGGTCCTAGTGTCCAGGTTCCTATACAGACAGTGTTTTCCCAACCTCCATCGCAGGTTGCCGTAAGCGGGCAGCCTGTTGTCTCGCAGCCTGCACAGCCGCAGGGTTCACAGCCCCAGCAGCAGCTAGTGCAGCAGCCTGGCCCCCAAGGTCCACAGCCTGGGGTGGGACAGGTGCCGGGACAAACATTGTGGGTTCCAAAGACGGCCATAGGCCTCGCCCAAACCTTTTTCAGGGGATAAGAGGGGTGAAGACCTTGACACATAGTTGAAGTCAGTGCCAATCTATGTTAAGTGTAAACTTACCTTGTCGCACGAGGAAGTGTTTGCGGCTGCCTCCTACTTAGAGGGGAGTGCAACAAGATGGTTGAGTGGTTTAGTGCAGTTGCAGGGATACGATCATGACTTCCTCGCTTGGGCAGTCAACCAGAAACTGGATGACTTCCTTAAGCTTGCGGAAGACAGGTGGCATGATCCTCAGGAGGCCCAAAAGGCCACTCTGACGCGATCCTGACTTTGAACCATAGGCAATTCAAGTCAGTAAGAGAGGCCACAAACGCAGTAGAGCGTCTGATCTGTGTCCCTGGAGTGCGCTACGACCCCCAGGTTTTACTCACCTCCTACCTGAGATGCTTTCCTATGCCTCTCAAGAATCAGTTCGCAGGTGAGGCCAACATCAACATGCACAACTTCCCATCGTTCAGCAAGAAGGCCCTAGACCTTGAGGCAAAGATAGGGCATGGACAGACACCCACAACGGGTGGTAGGAAGAACTCACTGCCTCCCAACTGGAAGGTGAAGGATCGCATCACGTTCATCGACAACGATGGTTCTACCATCGAGTTAGAAAACGACTTCTTGGCAGGAGTGGGTTCAGAAGCAGGCAGCGTAGAAGTTTTAGGGGGTGGAATTGTCACTGCCTCTGTCCAAAAAGGTAAGGCGACCTGTAGACGCCGTGGAGGTTCCCGGTCTAGGAGTCAAGTTGACCCCAACGCTTCTCCATGGGAGAAAGCGGGTCTACCTGAGGACGTGTGGAGAGATCGGTACACCCGGCAGGCTTGTATCCGATGTGGCCAATATGGCCATAATCAGTTCAAGTGTCGGAACAAGAAGGTGACCGAGAAGATCCCGCCTAGGATGGGGTAGGCGTTGGGATCCTCCGCTCCCGTAGGTAGCAACGTGGCCAGCAGTTCTGGCACTGCTCTGAGAAACACGTCGGGCTAGTTGGAATAGTACTTGTTCCTGCTAGGGTCGAGGTGGTGGACACACCCTCACCATCTCGAAAGATGGCCCAAGCTACTAACTCCGTTGTCGTCCCGCAAACACATCCAGACCATCGAGCCTCTGTTCGATGAATGTGTTCAGAGTCCTTAGAGGAGCTGGAGTGGTCCAAATCAGACCTGCTAGCTTCTTGGACGACATTGGCAAAACCCCCTGGGAGTGAGATGTTACGATCGGGGCCTATTATGACACTTGCTCGACTTGGAACTTCATTAGTTGCGCGTGCGTTGAGAGGCTGCGATTACAGGGGCAAGTGCAGCGCCTGAGTCGACCTGTGCCAACAAACAGCGCATGGTAGTCCACGACTACCTTCAGGACGTTGAGTGTTGTTTCCCGTACGCGGGAGGGGAACTGAGACATCGCGTCTCGTTCCTAGTTAGTGATGATCTCCCAATGAACATCCTGTTGGGTATGTACTATCTTTCGGTTGCACAGCCCCAGTTTGACTGGGATCGAAAAATGGTCGAGCACACTTTGCCAGGTGGGGGGACCGCCAGATTACGTAAGTTTAAGACTATTATCTGATCGAGGATGCATGTGTGTGGCCGCGTTCTATAATTATTATAAGCAAAATCTGGAGGAGGGTATGTATCTAGTTTACGTCTTTGCAGCAGGCGAGCCGATGAAAATGCCATCGGAGATAGACGGAATTGTCGCCAAGTACCCTAATCTATTTGAAGAGCCGAAAGGGGTTGTTGAGAGGGAGGTCGTCCACGCGATAGAAATTATCCCTGGGTCTAGCACTCTGAAGGGTAGGATCTACCGGATGTCTCCAGGCGAGCTTGATGAGCTTCGCCGACAACTCAAGGAACTCGTAGAAAAGGGTTGGATCCGACCGAGTGTTTCCCCTTATGGATCTCCATTCCTATTCGTACCAAAGAAGGGGGGAACTCTTAAGGATGTGCATTGACTATAGGGGCCTCAATGCCATCACTGTCAAGAACCGAGAGCCCCTACCACGCATCGATGACTTGCTAGATAGAGTGCAAGGGTGCCGATACTTCAGTAAAATAGATATGAAGTCCGGGTACCATCAGATTGCAATACGGCCCGAGGATCAACACAAAACTGCATTTCAGACCAGGTACGGTCTGTACAAGTTTGTGGTGATGTCTTTCGGCCTTTGCAATGCTCCTAGCACCTTTCAACACGCTATGAATCAGATCTTTCATGACTACTTGGATAAGTTTGTCATCGTGTACCTCGATGACATACTTATTTTTAGTAGGAATGTTGAGGAGCATGTTGCGCACTTAGACAAAGTCCTAAGTCTCCTTCGGCAGCACAAGTTCAAGATCAACGGGGAGGAATGCGAGTTTGGTCGCACCCGGATCTTGTACTTGGGTCATGAGATTTCCGCGGAGGGTTTGAAGCCCGATGACGCGAAGGTGGCCAGCATTCGTGACTGGCCGCGTCCTCAGTCTGTGACTGAGATGAGGTCCTTTTCAGGGATGACCGGCTACTATCGCAATGTTGTGAAGAACTATAGCATAGTTGCCCCTACGCCTTGACACCCCATGGGAGTGGACAGACAGGTATGAGGTTGTTTTCAGACATCTGAAGCATGCTCTGACACACTATGAGGTCTTGAAACTTCCTGATCCTGATAAGCCATTTATAGTAACCACGGATGTTAGCCAATATGGCATAGGCGCCGTGCTTGCACAGCAGGAGGGGCCAAAGTTGAGGCCAATCGAGTACATGTCCAAAAAGATGCCCTCTTGGAAGTTGGCTAAGTCTACCTATGTGAAGGAGCTCTACGCGATTTACAAGGCACTGACCCATTGGAGACATTACCTCCTTGGGAGGTTCTTCATCGTCAGGACTGATCATCATACCCTGAAGTGGATGAGAACCCAGCCAATGCTCTTCGATGCCTTAAAGTGCTGGATTGAAGTCGTTGAACAGTATGACTTCGAACCGCAATATTTGAAAGGGGAGTACAACAAAGTTGTTGATGCCTTATCGGCGTTATCGCGTAGGCCTGATTTCTCTACTGCGCTGATCACTGCGTTCGGCCTTGCGGATGATGTCGCTCGCTCTTTGGTGGAAGCCTATCGCGAGGACCAGTTCATGGCAGAGATCATACGCAGACTCGAGGCGAAGGACAAGGTGACTTCGGACGAGTTTGAGTTGGTCAATGGCCTGTTGTTTCTTGAAAAGGCCGGGAATAAACGTTTGTGTACCTAATCGGGAGTCTTTGCGTAATYTATTTCTAGGAGAATGTCATGATGGCACCAGACATTTTGGCTATGAAAAGACTGCAACCAATTTGTTGTAGAGGTTCTGGTGGCCCACAATGATGAAAGACGCCCAGCTGTACGTGGAGACTTGTCAGGTTTGTCAGAAGGACAAGCCACAAACACAGGCTCCTCTTGGGCTTCTGAAGCCCCTTCCGATTCCGGAAAGGCCTGGTCCATGGACTTCATGGATACGCTGGTCACCAGCAAGAGTGGAATGTGCTACGTCTATCTCATTGTGGATAGGTTTAGTAAGTACGCTAGGTTGGTCGCAATGCCTGCAACAACTAAGACTGAGTATGTGATTAAACTGTTAAAAGAGAACTGGGTGAGAGATTTTGGACTGCCAAAATCTATAATTAGTGACCGTGATGTACGATTTACTAGTGAACTGTGGAAGGCCGCAACTGCAGGTGACATCAGGGAACTATCCAGAGGTGAATGGGCAAGCAGAGTAGTTGAACCATGCCGTACAACACCTGATCATGCATTGCATCAAGCCAAATCAGGTAGACTGGGATGAGAAACTTGCTCTCATTGTCAGCCTGTACAACAACGCGGTGCAAAGGGCAACGGGAGTGAGCCCGAACAGCCTGCTACTGACATTCAAGACTAGGCTGCCCTTGGATTTCCTACTATTTGAGAACCAGCCTTCTGTTGCACCGGGAACCTTGGAGTTCGCTTATCGATATGAGCGTCTGATGCAGCAGGCTATTGAACAAGGCACAGGCGGCGATGATAGACTCTGAAAACAAGCACCGCCGCCCATGTACATTTCAGGTAGGGGAGAGAGTCTGGGTTAAGTCCTCAGAACTGCGGCAGGAGCACGGGATCTCCCGCAAGCTCATGCCACAGTACTTTGGACCATGCCAGATCCTAGATGTTGTGGGGGATGAACACGGATGGTCCGGACTGAGCGGCATAGGGGCCTGTCATCGCTAAGAATGGCAGCGATGGCAAGACTGCTGGCCTTATTCCTGGCCTGTGCATGACATTCAGGATCTGGTCCAAGGTGTCCTGGATTGTATCCAGTTTACTGTCCATGTATGCATGCATGGACAGGATGCTCGCCTTCAAAATCTTTTAATTATTGCTACGTGTCGAGTCATCTAATCCTTCTAGTGCAGCCTTGTCTGCCTCCCTACCCTCTAGTCTGACACTTCTGTCTCTAGTCTCTTTCTCTCTTTTAGTAGCCTTCACTTAGGGCGGGCACTTGGCTTGCTGGGGGCCTTCGCCCAGAACAATGTGATGTCTGGTAGGGCCCCTTGAGGGCTTGTTCCTCACAAATCAATCAATCAATCAATCAGCAACTATCAATCAATCAATCAATCAATCAATCAATTAATCAATAAATCATCAATCAATCAATCCTTTTCGTTTTTTTTTCTAGATTACAGGGCCAGACGTCTAGGACCTCCCTGACCATCCGGGGTTGTCCGGATGGACAATCGGTCGGACGTCGTCCCGAGGCAGTCTGTCCGAGCCTGAACGCCAAAAAAAAAAAAAAAAAAAAAAAAAAACTATGTTATGCAGAAAAATAACTCAACAATGTTTGCCTTGGGATCATATCAAAATTCCTTTTATCAAATTTGAAATAAATAACAAATTTAATGACACCCTCATTTTTTTTCTTTTTTTCATGCTTTAAACTGCTAAAAATGGAGTTGTCCGGGACCCCCCTGACTGTCAGGCCAGGACGTCCTACCATAGGACAACTGGTAACATATGTTTATTTTAATTCAATTCCCCCAACCCACCCCCGCCCCCCTGGCCCACCATGTGGCCGAGACCGGTCATGACCGACGAGGTGATGACCGGGGACTCCTAGGCATGACCGAGAGTCTTGGCCTTGGCCGCCCCCGTCCCCGGCCACGGGGACACAGTTTGTAAGTTCTGTTTCCTACATGTTAAACTGCTGGTTTCCTACATCCGTACTTGAGATCCTGTCGAAATCGAACTCCCTAGAGTAGTTCCAAATTTATTACTATACAAGGCTATGCCGGCCGCAGCTCTGCGTGCGGCGGAGACCTGCTCCTCCTTTTCCCCCTTGCCCCTTGGCATTGTCCGCCATCTTCTCTCTGTAGTGCTCTTGCATCTGCCCCCCCTTTAACCATCTCTATCTCCTCTGCTGTGTGGGCCCCCAGCATGTCCCCATCTCAATTCTCCATTATCATGTAGCGAATCATTGGTGTGGCCATCATGATCATCATCATGATAGTTATTCCGGTTTTCTCCATGAATTCGGGCTTTCTCCCCGTTCCCACTTCTGCCCGGCCTCCTCAGTCATCCCGTCACTTTTCTGCCATCTTTGCTCACCATCATCTGCCCAATGACGGGTGTGGCCATCATGATCATCACGATTAGGTTCTCTTCCATGACTGCCATCTCACCATCACCCGCCTGGTCATGGCATCATCTTCGAGGTCGGCCCTCTTTCGTCATCATTATCTACGGTCATCCCTTCCCTCTTTTGCCCTCTTTTACCCTCTTTTACCCGGTCATAGGCGTGGCCAGCAGAATGATGATCACCGTCTTCATTCCGGTTACCGTCATCGCCCCGATCAGGGATGTGGCCAGCATGATGATCATCATCGTCTTCATTCCGGTCATCACCATCTCCTCTATCCAAAACGTGGCCATCATGATGATCATCATGATCGTTATTCTGGTTATGTGGCTGATCACACAAACCATGCACCAATCTCTCTCTCTCTCTCTCTCTCTCTCTCTCTCTCTCTCTCTCTCTCTC